GGATTTAGCCCCAGGTTTAGCTCCAGAAAAGTTCAAGTCTAAGTACTGTTAATGCCTTCAGGTGAAATACCCGCGTGTTACATGAGCTGTTTGACACTGGCATTTGACACAAGGAGGCTTTTCTTTTTAAGCACAATTGGAATAAGAAGCAAAGATCATCCCTTGGTCCTTTTTTGGTTGGGTTTTGTTTTGTTTTTAATCTCCTTAACATAACTCCTCTTTCTTTTATTTTTTTTTTTGACGGTGGCTGTCGCCTACTGAAGTTTTACAAATGCTGCTGTAAATCTTAAAACCTCACACAGGAAAAGAATCTTTTAAGCAGCATGAAAGCATAACCAACTGAGAGGCTCATATCTGAAATATACACTGACATTTTCTTTCACAAGGTTTACATTCCAAACTGAAGCTAGAAAATGAAGAAATAAGATTTTTAAGAAAGAGAGAAAAGCAATGCAGGAAGTTGGATCCCACTCTGAGCAAAGCAAGCTGAGCCTGAACGAGGAGAAATCACAGACCGGTACCTGACAAGCGTTAAGGTTAGTTACAGATAAAACAGGTGGCACAACCGCTTCAAACGACACCTACTCACCTTCCTGGTATCAAAAAGCAGGCACAAAGAGCTGAAAGCTGGTACTTTTAACTATATATTCAGGAGGAAGAGGGGAGACTCAATAGAGATGGGAAAAGGCCAACAAGAACAAAACGGTGTAACGGTGGGGATGGTCTCCACGTTCCTCAGCAGAACAGGAAACTTTTTTTTCAGCAGGAGGAGCGTGCGGCAGTGCCACAGCCTTGTCTGACAGACCCTTACTGCTAATGACAAAAGCCACTCTACCATGGAAATGCTTTAACTGATGGTTTCAGAACGAGTTTATTTCTGCAAGTGTTCTGTGACAAAACAGCAGCTGATTGAACTGGAGAAATCAATAAAATCAAGGTATTTTCAAGTACTGTGGATTAGTGTCACAAAAATTTGTACCACAGGAGTCACTGAAATTAAAATGTGACCCTTTGAGTTAATTAATTCTAGCTTAATAAGCAAGTTCAACAGCCTGCTAATTCAAGGCTTCCGTGAATGAGCCAGCTAGCCAACAGTGAATCTGTTCTGCTGCGGAACGACTCGGCGGGGGGCAGCGGGTCCCTGAGTACACCTCAGCACATCACTCTTTCTGTCTAACGTTGGGGAAGAAAAGGTAAATTCTTTTTCCCCCTGACACTTTACATTCATATTGTGTTACACAGACTTTATGTGTCAGGTTTGGTAACTATTACTGAGTTGTGCTTTCAGGCCACACCAGCATACAGAATAAAAAACTACAGCACGTACAGATTTTGCTGAATCATATTTCTGGTTTGTTCCAGGAAGTTGAACATTCATTCCTACAGTGCTATGAGGAAGCTTCCCAGTTCCTGTCAGCACCAGTACACCACATGCACTGGGTACAGCCTACTAGACCCAGACAGCACTGCTTTAAAGGGACACAGTCTGATTCCACTCCAAAAACAACCTGGTCAGCAAGAGACAAAACAAAACAAAACGGCAGTGCAGTGAGGCTCACAGAAGTGCTAATTCCTTGGACAGGACTCACCGGCCAAGGAGAGGACTCACCACAAAACTATCCATAAAAACATCAATATGATGTTTATTTAATTTTTTTTTTAAGACTACAGTGTACCTGAACGTAAATGGGAGAGAAGGGGAGAGGTGAGGAGGTGGTTGTTAGTGGTCAGTTATTTTCAAGCATTACGTTTGTGGCATCAGCTGCAATAACGCAGAGATCTCGGCAGCAGGATTTGGAGAAACACCGAGTTTCCCCACAGGGATCTGACTGTTCATTTACGTGCTCCCCTGAAGAACACAGACGTGTGATGCCTTCAGCAAACGCCACGCTGACGCGTGTTCCTGGACACCCACCTTTCGCCGCAGCTTTCCGCGCTCAGCTTTAATCCCGGGATGCAGAGGAACCTGCCCGACTGTTCTGTGGCACTGGAATGCAGCACAAACGGCACCAGCGCCAGGCGCGGCGTCAGGAGATCTCCTTTAAGTGAGCAGGAGAGAACAACATGGAGCCTGGGAGAGCCCACCAGGCTCTAACAACTCCACTTCAGCAACAGACACTCTACAAAGGTCGCCGTCTGCTCTACACCGAGCTACAGGGGCTGATGTATAAAGTATCTGTCTGCATGGCTCAGTTTATACCGGGTAGTTAAATGTCTAAGCTTATGGACAGAAAATCTCTGCAAGAGTCTCTCCTGTCTCACAAACACATTTCCACTGGTAGCAGTGGCAGAGTAAAGAGAGGAAAACAGGATTTAGTAAGTAGGCAAGGCCTTTGTCACCAAACAGATATGTATCAGGTAATTTCTCAGGGCATGCACAACTGCTTCTGTAGTCACTGTCAACACAAGTGGGCTGATAAACAAACACAAAAACAGGATAGAAAATGGGAACAAATTTCTTAAAGGCAGAACACTAATACTTTAAGCATGCACCTAATTCAAACATGAGTGATGGAGTTGCCAGGTCTGAATCATGCAGATAAAAAAAAAAAAAAAAGGTCTAAAAATGCATATAATCCTGCCAGCAAACTCAGTTCCATTCCACAGAGTAACAACAGTGATATATTCCTTTGACTGCAAATGGAACAAAATGAAGAAGAAATCTGATCACCTCTAGTGCTGAAAAAAAACCTTTAAACCACTGGTCAATACATTTACTCAGGAAGAAGTTTGAAAAAATTCAATACATCAACTGTACCTTCAGTGTGATGGAACTAAAACCACCTGTGTGGAATGTAAACTCCAAACACTACTGCTGGAGCTAAACTTCCAGTGCACATTTCCAACTCATGTGTTTCGAATTTATATCCCCCTTTTGGACTCCATACACAAACCCATTTCCCTCAAACACTGATCCAGGAATGAGCTGATAATGTTCTAATTACCAGGCAAACTCGGTCATTGCAGCTCTAGGAATTAACACAAACCGTACTGTCTACAGTTCCCTTTTGTATTTTAGGTGCCTGCAAGCAGGGTTGGGCTTAAAGGGCACTATAAGACAATTACACACTCCTAAAAAAAAAATTAAAAAAATCTATGGCCACAATATTCTTGACTCTCAATACTGGCGATGTATTTTATTTACAAACACAGCTGCACATGTATATATGCATGTTCAGCACTTTTTCTTTCAACACACTTGCATCCAGCTATCAATTTAGTGCCAAATTTAAGTGGGTCTGTCTCTCATCGAGTTGAACTGACTAAGAGAGAACTTTAAACACGTTAGAAAACACCACTTGTCAGAGAAGGCTTGAGAATCAATCTCAAAATAAATACCATCCCTAAGAATATTATGGCTTGGAAGAATTTCAAGAATTTGAGTCCCTGATATTTGCAAAATGAAAAGGCCTTTGGAAATGCCCTCGCATCAGTACTTTTTACCTATTTTGAATAAAAAATATATATTATTTATAAAATAAAGAGAGGAGGCCAAAGAAGATTGGCCAGAATCACTCTATAAAACTGTTCTGTTCACTCCATAAACTTAAACTTATAAAGCCCTGGAACATCTGGATAGCAGGATTTCTGGAGAAGCACTCGAGAATGCAGATTCCAATCAGACGATACTTCATGATGTTTTCTCATCTTGGAGATCCACTTGTTTTCTGCCCCTCAAAACTGAAGTCCATGCCAAGAGAAGGGATGTTTACTCCTGAGAAGGAAGCTGAAATTTAAATAGAGAAAAATGTGCAACTATAAGCACTGAGACGGCTGTCTGATCTTGGCTCTGAGCATCGTTCTAAAGCCATGCAGAACGGCAGGGAAAATGCTGGGTTTTCACTCCTCGGTAGAGTGGCAGTATGCAGTCCTCACTGACTATTCCTCGGTAGAGTGGCAGTATGCAGTCCTCACTATCGACAGAAAATAATACTTGGAGGTTTTTCTTCTCAGTGGAAGAAAATGGAATCACATCTACCATATGCAAGCAGCTCATTTATAAAAATCTCAAGCTGCCCTATTTGTGTGCAGAACTAGGCAGTGGATTACAACGCTTTGCCACACTGTACAGTTAGTTATTCAACTCCCAGAGGAAACTGAGGGGCAAATTCTATCTGAGTATTGCACCTCCTGCAAGTGGGACAGCAGAGGATACTCCTTGAATCTCGGTCAATTCCACCTCACTGTGAAAATGTTTCAGGCAGACTGAAGAGGACACAGCCTGCAGCTTACTGTGGGAGTGCACATGTGGGATACCCCCCCACTGTTACGGAAGTCAGAACAGGTTATAGACCAGTGAACGTTCTGGAAGCAGCATCTTCCCCAAACCATATCATCTGTTGTTGTACCCAAGTTTCTCCAGGGTGGAAAAAAAATAGATAAGAGAGTAGCAGCTGATGTGGGCATTTCAAGTTACTTCCATTTATTCCTAACTGCAACTTGTCTGTTCTCGACTTCAGGTTCTTTTAAGACTGTATCTGCACCTTCCCACACCTTCCATGAATCACTGAACAAATTTCCAATCTTGTAATTGTACAAGTTAGTGGCAAGAGTCGTTCCTGCCACATTTACCAGATCAGGGTTTGTATCATCCCCTACAAACAGTGCTTTTGGCTCTTGTATTAACTGTGTCAACATCCAAGCCGGGGCTACGGGATAGCCACTGTTTTAGGTTCTCTTAAACAATGTATTTCTGGACAAGGTGGAGAAATATTGGTGAAATACCACCATGTATAGATGCATCGACACAATACTCTGGTGAGAGGGTCTCTGCCCGGCAGGGGCATGCCACTGTCACAGCTGTGCCACCCACAGCCAGCTCGAGGGTCTGCACCCCACAGCCTTCCCCGTGTTCCGTGACTCTGCCTGAGCACTCTGGGGTATGTCGCTGTTAAACCCGTCCAACGTTACCCACTCGTTCCCTGCCAAGTGGTTATTTTGAAGGTAATGAAGAAAGAAATACTGACCTTTCTGAACAAGCTTTACACTGCTGCAAACTGCTATGTCTCCCTTTCTATGGCAAGGGATGAAGCTTCACCAGAACCTACAGAATGAAAAATAAAGTAGTTCGAAGTAAGTAAATCTGTTTTTCTCACTGAGAATGTATTTTTCACTAAGTGTGGGAGAGTGTTTTTAAGAACCATCCCAAATAAAAATAGACAATCACTTGTCAGAACTAACTGAACAGAATTTTTAAGCTGAGATTACTCTATTACTGGCTTTATCTATCTTATAACTGTCACACGCTTTGAAGCCAGAAAGACAAAGAAAGATCTTTCAGTTTTAACGGAACACTTCAGGCCTTTCTGCTTCGAAAATTCTACTGGTTTACTTCTGTTGTGTAAGACTGAAAACTCAAAGCTTCATTTGCTGATGCCTTACAAAAAAAAAAAAAAACAAACCAAAAACCAAAACAGTGGTGAGAAAACAAGGAAGAGTTAAACATCATTAATGCCTACAGTGCAAACTCCTAAAACCCTTCTGTCAGACGGGACGAAGGGAACCAAAGCTTTAAAGAACCAGCCAGGAAATCATGTTCTCTGAACAATAGAGATAATATTCTGTATTATTGTGATAATACAGCCAGGGTAGAAATACATGGTAATACATGCACCTATTCCTAAACATTTTCACTTGTGAAATAATAAAAAAAAATAATCATTTTTCTATGAAGAGGTACAGTTTCAGCCCAAATCTTGGAAAACTGAAAGCTGTGGAGGTCAGACTTAAGCCATACATAAGCAGCACAGAAATTTCTACTTTAAACCTCTGTAAGAGGTTGAGGCAGTTGGGCTTGTCTCATCTGATGAGGCAGCAGCTCGGGGTCAATCTAACAGCAGCCTACAGCTACGTGGGGACTGCTGAAAATGACAACTGACCTGGCAGCAGCTCATACCTCACATTCAATGCAAACAGCATCCTGCTGATCATGGGCAGCAACAGCAACATTGTGCTCTACTGTAGAACTGTAATATTACAGTAATACCCAAGAAACTCAAAGCAATTTATGTGCATAAATCTATCTTCACAGCCTGCCTGAGATATAGGAAGGTTATCATGCTGTATTTCTCCTCACTTGCAATACATGGTTAAGTGAAACACACTGTCCAATTAAAAAAAAATTAAAAATAAGCTCCAGTTCCCAAATTCATACTTCTAGAGTTGTTCCTGTGCCTGCCAAAAACAGCACTTCAGAACTCTCTTGCTCTGTAGATATCTTATGCTGGTCTTGTGCTGTTCACTTTTAAAATCCAAAGCTCATTGTTATACATGATAGTCAAAACGCACAAACAGCATCAAACAGTGTTAAATATCAATTTCCTACAAAACTTTAATTTTCACCAAATGAATCTTCTCTGTGAAGGTAAAGAAAGAAAAACAGAAAGCAAACACTTCTCCCTTACCACTCAACGACACGTACGCAATACATATGTTTGCCTAGGCCTCTTGTTTCCTTATTATGTATAAAAAGAATCAGTGCTATTTCCATGATCAGATTATTTTCATGTTTATTAGCACAGACATCTATTTTACCATGCAAAATCTAATCCATTATTCAGATGGGAAGCTCAGAGAAAGCCCTTTATTCTGCATACGTTTAGGAAAGCATACAATCTGAATGTCAAAGGGAACTGATAAAAGGCTATATAAGACCTGCTGGCTCTGGGATGTTAGTCTGACTGCAATTTCACTACCAACTTTTTATGGAATATTTTTTTTCATCTAATTGATTTACCAGCTGCAGCTCTGATCTACGTACAAAACGATACTGGATTTACTAAATACATTTACCAATTCAGTTGAACTGACACAGATTCCTACACAGGTATCCCTCCATCGTTTCGGAACGGGTTAGAAGGCGCTCACTGCTGGAGGATGTAGCACTGCTTTAACTTCATCTTTTTCTGTCGGACACAATTATCCATTTATATCATGCCTAAAATCCAGAGATGCAAACCTCGACTTCTGTCTCAGTTCACTGAATTGGCCAACACACCGTTGTACTGTCTGAGCAATCTCTGCTCACTTCGCCATCTAAGAAGCTTTTTAAATTTCTCGATGGATAGAAATTCAATCCCTGCAGTCACAACAGATGACTTCTCTACTCCAAGGACTGCTATGCCAGATTAGCTGGTATCTCAGAGCATGAAGCTCCTTTAATTAGACTCGTATCGATTTGAATTTAAATTCAAATCACATGCCTTCAGACACCTGCAGCTTCATCCCCCACAGAGCTCGCAACTTCCACCTATTACTCGGAATACGCTGGTTTTTGCTGGAAAGATGTTACTTAGTAAGGATGACAAATTTTCGAAGGTGAGAACAATTTGGGAAAGACTTGATTCATACTGAAGCCTTTTGTACCAGTTAAAATGCAACACATGAGTAAATTAATAAATCAATCTAAGAGATGAGACCTTGCTATAAATGTATGGAAATGGCTGCCCTGTCCCAGGCTTCACAAGACAAAGAGTGCAAGCGTGCAGTGTGCACAGTGCCGACACACCCACGGCCAACACGTCAAATGCATTCTAGATGAGTTCTTTGAAAAAACCTGATAACCTTAGAAGCTGCCAGCATGTGACTGGGGCTAGCTCTCTGGCTAGACAGATTAAAACAGATGTCTATGAATAAGGGATGAGCATTAATAAATCTGAAAAAAATTAAATTCCCATGAATTTGGAAGCAAGTGTTTTCAGTCTCTGGCTAAGAAATGAAACAAAAGGTTCCCCACAATATTTTTCTCCCTACATGAAACAATAAAAGCCTTAGCAAGGCCAGGATTAAGAAAAGAAAAAAAAAATCCAACCAGGAAGGGCACGTTTAAACATCCATACACAGAAAAAAGGACTCCTGGGGCCTAGACAAAGCTACCTCATCTCCTTCCTTTCACCTGGGCTCATCCTCACCTCATCAATCTCCCAGTCCCCTTTATGCTCCTCTCCCCCACCATCCACACATGATCTGATTTTGCAATTGCTGGGGCTTAAAAATGCCCTGCTTTACGCAGACACAGAGTGATCAGGGTGGGAGCAAAAGACTGCAGTAATGCAGTTAGGCACAATGACATTACACGAAGAAACATTTCTCAAGCTCCTCATTTTTTCATTCTTCCTGTGGTGTTTCTCTCTCTCCTGCACGAGTCTGCAGTGAGGGGCTCAGCTGATGAGGAGAGCCCTCGTTACTCCTGCTACATAACACAAGTGCACGAGCAGTTACAGGTGAAACTCCAGGAGGCAAGAGGCCCCACTTAAATATAAGAGGGCAGTTATTATTCTGCTCGCGATGCAGCTGGCACTGCCATCTCCTAAGACTGCAGGATTGAAAGATCTGAACTTTCATGTTTCCTCAACTCCTGCTTTGCCTAATGTCAGGTGATAGGAAAAAACCCAAACCTGGTACCTTTTCTTATACAACTCCCTCTCCCCCAGCATCTTTTGTATTAATCAAAATGATACACAGACGTTCATTATCTGTGTTAGCAGAATGGTGTAGTCAAGAGCTTAGAGAAGATACTCCACAAGGTGGGTTTATGCTGTATCACAAAACTGCTGACTCAAAAATACTTTACATGTGTTACACGGTTGGACTTGACCTTAAAGGTCTTTTCCCATCTAAATGATTCTATGATTACTGAATCAATCCTGACCTTACCTGGTGGTCATGGAGAGCCACAGAACTCGTAAAGTGCAAGATTCAGGCAACCCTGCTGGTTGTGGAGGTTTTTGATGAAATCTCTGTGCATCGCTCTGCTCACCAACCTGGCTCAGCAGCAGGGCTGAAAGCTGCAGCACAAATATCAGCTGCGCTCAGTCCCGCAGCACCGGCCACAGCAGCATCCAGGGAAGGGTGTTAGCTTCCTCCCCTCCCAACCACACACTCCCCCCAGTCTCCATGTGGGATTTCATCTTGCAAAATTCAGATGCTCAGACTGAGAGCTGAGAGGAGGATTTGCCTGTTTGTAAGAAAAACAAAGGGCAGTGGATTTTCCCCAGTGTTTGCTCTAGCAGCTGAATTCCAGTTCCACACGACTGATTCGTAGACATACAAAGGACACAATCTCCTTATCTAGGGCATTCTTTTATTTGCAGTTTTCCCCTTTACCTCACAGCCACTGCAAAATAATTAAAACTTCTCTAGTCACGGACCAAGACCCCCATACTAGCAGCTATTCATCTCCTCACAGCGTGTGTTCACCCTGGTTTTTCACTTTTATCTGTAACTTTGCATAGGCTCAGTTTGGCTTTTACATTATAGTAAGAGGTTCTAATTTTACCAATATTACAGTTCTACAGCTTCTTGGAATAAGATTACAAAGTATTTTGTCACTGAGAAAGACGAGTAGAATATTTCAGTTGGAAGGGCCCTACAACAATCATCTAATCCAACTGCCTGTAAATGTCATTTATTTTATAAGCACTATAAATTGTGGGACTTCATATAAGCTCCAGATTCAGATTCTGGGGTCTGATCTGGCCAAAAATCATCTCACTGTCAAATGTTTTCATACTTAAGAAAGAGAATTTATACTTTGTAGAAGCTGAAAGAAGTTCTGACTCATTCCTGCAGGAGTTATTTTAAGCATCATAAACAATACACAGAGATGCCATATTTGTTATTTTTAAATCCAGTTTGTTACCTTTTAACTGCCAAAATGTACAGAACAAACCAGGAAGAAGAGGTAGTTTTCTAACACACAAATATGAACTAATTAAAGCAGTGAATCTGAAGAAAAGCTGAAATGAGCCTCTTCAGTCCTACTGACAAAATTCTAGAGAATATATTTTCCCAGCAGTAGGTGAAGTTGTGCCTTGGGAAAAACACAGACTGTATATTTTGCAGTGGAATAACTTGAACAAACAGTGGCAGGTAAGACCTAACCAGTGACTGAACAGCAAACACTGTGCTGTTAGGATTAAAGAGCTCATTGCACAGTAGATTGCACATGTGTAAAAAATATTCACAGAAAAGGTTTCTGTGACCCCCTTTAACCGAGACTATCGTCTTCCTCACAGGCTGCCAGACGTACATTGTGCACACACGACTAAGATGTGTACCTTGAAAGGGAACGTCAGCAGCAAAGTTTCTGAAACTATTCTGAGGCAATAAAGAGCGCGACTATGGAAACCAAATCTGAACAAAAAGGCAGTGATATTTGTTCCCCAAGTATACTTGCCTGATCGACTAATTATAGTAACCTGAGAACTTATTAACACTTTCACCCTTCCTTAAAGGGAAAAGGAGAGCGAGATGATCATAATTCTTTTAAAGGGAACCTGTGGATGGCATCCTTGCACCACAGGAAAAAAACACAAGCACATCCTTAACTTACTGACCCTCCAACATGGTAACTGGGGTCTCTAACACGAACCCTGATATTCTGACCAAAGCTTGGAGGTAAGTACACACAGGGGAAAAAAAAAAAAATCAAGTTCAAACATAGAAATGTAACAGTAAAGAATTATTAAACTTATTTTGGATCCATCTAACAAAAATCAAAGAATAGAGATACATATAAAGTCTTTTTTCTAATAGGACCTCTATAGCATAAAAGATATGTTTGCATCTCAGAAACTGATCAAATCTATTGTACAAGCACGCCAGTTCACCTAGAATTGCTCTCAGCACGTGTATTTCTTCTACGAAGATTAGCGCAGAGCTTAGCAATCATCAAAAGCAAATCAACTTCTTTGGTAATAAAGTTAAACAAACAAAGTATAAAGTACTTTCCTAAATGTATCTCTGCATTCAGGTGTTTGCATGCATGTTTTCACAAACTCTCAGAGAATAAATGCTCTTCAAAAAAACCATCTTAGTCTTTTCATTTTTACAGGCACAACTTTTATGTGTCCAGTAACTGCTGCATGCAGCAATATTTACATATAAATACACTCAGTTTGTGGAAATTTCAATTTCTCTCTGCAACTTGTAACAATCTCTCAGTTGATTTATGTGCAAGTAGCAAGCTTCTAAAAAAAAATTTTTTTTTAAAAAAAAGAGCTGACTCCAAAATAAGGCTTATTTTTAGTCTGTGTTCATTAGTCTAGTCAGAGCTGCACAGTGACTTAGCCAACACAATTTTTTTTATTTGATTAGCTCTTACAATTCATCCATTAGTCACTGTAGGTCAAGACATCACTCATTTCCTTTAGCGTTACCTTACCATGAGGCTCTTCATCTATTCCATCATCTTCCCACTGCTCTTCATTTGCTAGGAGAGGATTCTGAGCTTCGCACAAAGCTCTCATTGGGAAAAAATGTCCATCGCCCTGGCTGTGTGCAAAAAGGCAGAGAAAGACACTGTAAAAGGCAGCAAGTGACTCTGAAAGATAACAATTTCTACACGTTTTATCTGCGTACAAAGTTTTCCACTGCTTGTATTTCCAATGTTTACTTAAATTTATTTTTAAGTTTTGAAAAATACAGTGTTAGTTTTTTGTGGCAGCTCAGATACGAAGTTTTACTAGCGAGTAGTTTTGGTCCTCAACTCCTTCAAGCTCTCTGGAGAATAAAAGTTCAAACCTACGGCCTGGAATTAAGTCATTTTTAGTAGAATTTAAATGTGCCTAACTTCATCAAGTCACTGGGATATAGAAAAACAAAACAGAAAAAAATTAACTTAGGGACAGCTAGAAGTGAGGAGGGAACTAAGGAAAACATTTATGTAGAAGGAGCAATCTCTACCATAGGTTCTTCAGGCAGAAGTTACACTTCTGTGTTTGAATGACACCCGACAGAAAATGGCTCCAATCTTAGTCAGATGTTACTGAAAGACAAATAAGAGACCCGCTTTCCTGTGACCTAAACCTTTACATAAAATGGACAAAAAAATTCAAATAAATACCCTCTGCAAAGATCTAAAGTTGCAAAAGCTTACAGACATGTGTATCTGGATATTGTTTGTTTGAGAGTACATTCGAATTCACGTAATGTAAACTAACAAAGTTAAAAACTAGATGTTCTAGCTTGGTCTGCACCATACGGTGTTCCCTGACACCCAGCAGCGCAGGCAGAGGAACTGTAAACTGTAAAAAGTGCCTTTTTCCTCTGATGTTTTATCTTTAGGCAAGGAAGAGAACCCCAGTGTTCTCCCTGTGATGACACACACACTGCTAACATGCCTCTGACTAGCGCCTCAGTGCTGCCTTTCATTAACAGCAAGGCTTTCTGAGCTCATCTTTTCCCTTTAACTATACTTAAGAGTGCAAAACAGATGGCAGCGGGGACCCAACTGGGCCTTAGACTTACACACTGCTACTTGGAAATGCTGTGACCTGCTGTGCCAGAAAGTTATTTTAATTTGTGCCTAATTTTTAAAGGAATTAAATTCCAGTGTACTTTACTACTGGTTTACTAAGTGCCTAAACAACATTTTCCCCTACATTAAGAAACACAAACTGTTTCAGGCAGAGGAGTGACAGATGAAGAAAACAGTGTCTTTGAAGTGCAGACCCATCCACACAGGTGCCGCCGGAGCCCGTGAAGAGTTCAAACGCCCTGTGCAGCACATTTAGCCCTCAAAAATCTTTCCCTTCCAGACTTCTGGTGAACAGGATTAACGTGGATGATGCTTGTTGGTGCCTTTGTAATGATTCACAATAGCAGTCAGCCAAGCCACACAATAAGAAGTGTAACATATAAGGCTGTACCAGACATTTAGAAGTCAGTCCCTTCAGTTAATTATATCAGCTTTTAGCACTGACTTGATTATTACTTACCTAGAGGCAATAGGTAGTAACCACAGCTTTTTTTCTTCTCCAAACACTTGCTGAAGATTCTTTACAAAGCCAAGATTGAATCCATTTTTATCTGGGCCATTTTGAAACACTGGAGCCGAGAAAGCCTCTACACAGATACAATTTCAGTGGGGAAAAAAAAAAAGAAAACCAATGCCAAATACTCTGAAACAGGATTGTGTGTGTTGTAGCCATCTAAAGACAACATGATTTAACAGATTATGAACTAGCATTACAAAGATGCAAAGTTTGAAAATAATAGTTTTTTTCATTTTGCAAGCCTGTAAAGACTTTCAAACTGAAGGTAGGAATTTGGTCCTGCAACTGAACCATGTGGAACAGTCAAACTGAACTACGAACAGTTTGTTTAATCTAGAGAACACAGAAGATCTTTGCACAAGTTCAGACTTGCTGAACTTCAGTGGGTAGAAATTTCTGAGTAAAAAATCGGCAGAATTAAGTAGGTTGGTCTTCAATACATATTTCAGAAGTGGTGCTGGAGATATAAATTGCCTCATTCATTAAAGATATAATGAACAAGCATTAGGAACAAACGTATGCAAATAGACCCTCTGTTATGGTGAGGCACAAAATTAAGAAAAGAAAGGGGAGGAGAACCTGGAGTGCACTAGAAACAATTTTATCTACCTTCTAAGCTGCTTCAGAGGTCTAATGTTTTGGGATAGATGAGCTTTAGTGCCCCTTGAAGTGAGTTTTGAAGTTAATAACTATACAAAATCTGAATATTTGCTCAAACGCTTGATGGTGTGTGTTTTGTTATAAAACTTTATCCAAAAAGCTTTAAAAACTGCACAACATTTATCTGAGGAGAGACAAAGAAATCACTTGACAAAATAATCTTGTTTCAGATTTTCACTTCATTGATTTTACAGTCATAACTTCTTCGCTTTAGTCAAGGAAGATGGACACTGTTTTTCCCAACCTCACTAAGTTGTTTCAGGATGCGCTCCAGCATATGAGCATAAAGAACCATAATTCCTGACAAGCTGCACTCATTTCACAGCAAATGTAGTTACAGATATGCATAACATTTGTATAATTGGACTTTTATACTTTAAGGCTCCCATTCTCCTAACAAAGCATTTGTCACACCAGCCAATAAATGCAGATCATTTGAAGTGGCTAATTTCCGCAGCACTGTGCCAAGATCTTAAATCTTCCTCTCCGCATAAGACTGGGGAATGTAGGGAATGTATGGAAGTAGAATACAAATGCCCCCCCCCCCTTTTTTTTTCTTCCCTTCTTCTTACAGCACTTTTAGTGTGTCTTACTTAAAGAAGTACGACACAAGAGCCTTACCTAAAGTAGATCTGTTTCTACTGACGAGCCAACAGTGGTAGCCAAACAGAAACATAAGGCTTACAAAGAACATGATCGCCACAAAGAGGAGGAAAAGGACATGAAATTTGGAACGTCCATTAGTCAGTTCACCCTGGAAAGAAAAGCAAAACAGGACAAGTGATAAGAACAAACAAAAGCTGGAAATTCTTTGTTCCTAGAGAGAAGAAAGATACCCCCTAAAACTCCTATTTGGAGTTCTCAAACTTGTATATGCAAAAAATCACACCTTACTATAAAAAGCAAGAAGAGACAAAGAAATGATCTGGTTCATCTCCCCTCCTGTAACCAGAGCAGAAACAGTGGGGTTTTGTTACTAACTTTTTGTACGTAACAGCTTCCCACCTGGGCACGAGGAACACGCCCTACACCCACAGGGAAATAAGCAGGCACAAGCTCTTGAAGGCCTGTTTAGGTTCTGCTGAGTTTCCTGTCCATATATTAAAATTCTGCACCTCTTGCAATATCAGGTGTGCCAGGAAAACCTGGCCTGCATAGCTAGAGCAATCAGGTAGTGTTAGAACTCAGCATGGGTGGTTTGGAAAATTTTAAAAGCCAAGCAGAAGAAACATTTATTTTGTTCTACAGTAGAAGAGTCAAGTGCCAGAGATCCTCATAAGCACACATCTACAGGCTGTGGGGACATCAAAGTAAAAAAAAATTACTCCTCAGCCTTTGCACATCCCAAATATGCATCCACAGAGTCTCTGTGCCTTTCTTAGCATAAGAAACAATTCTTGCTGGTGTCTCATAAGCATCTCAGGAGGCATCTTATGTAAGTGATTAGCCATTAAAACACTGCAGAAATGTAATAAAATAATGCACAGCAAAGTTAAGTTGCTTAAACACAGTCACACAGTTAGCAGCAGAGGGGACATAAAAAAACACTAGAGACAAAAGGCCAGTATCTTACTCGAGCTGTCAGCTGGCATTGCTTGCATATGAGTGACAACTGATAACTGAGTAAGAAGCATACTTCATTTCAGTCAACTTTTAAATTGAGAATGGAGCCATACCGGGATTAGAAAATGAACAAGGTTTTTTGACATTGTTCAGTTAATATGTACAGATCAATGCCGGGATGTTATACTTTGATATCAAAGATTCTGAGATACATACATGCAAACACAAGAACAGGAAAAGGATATAACTTCTTTGCCAGAAGCTTACTCTACAGTCTGAAATTCCTGAAGTCTCTTTGCTTCTCGCTTTGTGCATTTCAGACAGACAATGGGAGTTATACTCAAAACAAGGGCTTGGGAAAATACTTTACAGAATAAATACTTCCAGTGACTGAAAGCAAGAAAGTAACGAGAGTGACTAAACCCCACAAGACTCATAGGATATGAAAAGTAACCAGATTTCGTGACTTACTGTCCAATACTTAATGAAATACTTGAAGACTGTTGCAGCAATATACAAGCAATACAACAAAGAATAGGCTAAGAACAGTAGAAAGAATTTGTAGTTAGAAAATCCAATGCAGTTATTCACCCTGGAGAACAAAAGCAAAGTTGAAATCAGGGTATGTACAGCACACAGTTGTAACACAATGAACACTACAATTTGTTTGGTTTTATTAAGCCTCTTCATTATACAACGCAATTTCATCAATAAATAGCCCCTCTTAGTGGTCAAAATGAAATATAACTAAAGTCTTTTTGCTTTTCACTTGAAAACTTATTGCTATGCCAAGTAAAAGGACAGTTCATATTTTTGGAATGTGTTTTAAAGTTGGTATCACTGGTAAATCTGTCACAGAGGAAGGTTGTTATTACTTATGTCCGTTACTTGTCTGAAAGGGTAATCAGATCTGTGATTTCTGTGTTACTTAATTCATTTGTAAAACTCAGGAGCCAGAATCACCACTGCTTGTTTATTTACATACAAAACAAATAAAACCAAATTTGATTTTTATTCTCCATGCACAAGACAACTCTAAAAAGGAAAAAAAGAATGCAGGAAAAAAATAGTAGGTGCTTGTCTCAAAATTCAAGTTTGAAAAATCTTCTACAATTTAGGATTACCAGGGAGGTTCAGGTGGGGAAATGTTTATGTTGCTTCTGATTTCTGAAATTTTCCCTTTTTAAAAAAAAGAGGAGTTTAAGAAATTTAGTGTCAGCAATTCTCAAAAAGGATAAAGCTTAATTCATCCATGCACCATTCTACACAAACTGTCTCTGACCATATACAGGTGGCAGGCATCATTTCAGAAACGATCTGCATGCAAATACTATTACTGAAAGCAGCCACCAACTGCATGCTGCAACTATTAAATGCCCAAAATTAAAAACTAAGCTGAAGTCTCTTTAGAATTTGAGTAACTTTAGCTAAAGAGTGAATTAGCAGTTGGGTTTTAAATTATATAGATATAACAGCTTTTTTACACATAGTTTATGGAACACATATGATCTGTCTTTCAAAATATCAAATATTTCAGACAATTTCAAGGTGCAATTATTTTCTAAATTTCCAGACATAAACAGATGCCTGGTCTAAAATGAAAGAGGCATACAGATGCTACTCTGTGGAAAAAATAGATTAAAACAGCCTTTCTTTTCAGAAAACTACAAACCAATATCTAGAGCATACCATGGACAGTGATGATCCATTTTCAGCACACATCTGCAAAAGGACAAAAAAGAAAAATTGAAGATTTTTATGTGGTACTTAATTGTCAACTGCAGATCAATAGCAAAAGCCCCTGTTTTCTGTGAGATTTCTACATAACACAAAGTCAAGATAATACTGTCTCTTTGAATTTTTTTAAGGTAGGTACCATTTTATAAGAGGAATATTTATTACTTTTTCAAGATCAACCAATGTCCTTGCTACTCTGCAAGATAAAAATAAATGGAAATGATTACTGCCCTAGAGGGCTTAAAACTTCTGCAAAACATCACAAGTAAAGGTCTAGAGTATATTTTTTTAAAAAAGGGGGAAAAAAAAAGGCAAATATCATACTTTATTTTAACCTGCCTAGGTTAATCTGTTAATTTTCACTAGCTGGCATACTTTCTAGCAACTTCATGCTGACACACTTGTAGGTGTGGGAACTGCAAACACTTCAGGGCCACAAACAGGAGCAAAGCAAATGCTGCTGCTGTCACACAGGAGCGGCACTGCTGACTGCAGCTGGAACAGAGGCACTTGGGAACCTTCACGTGTAAAAAAGACACGTCAAGGACCAGCCCATCCACATGACTTAGTGGTGACCATATTCACTTCAGTGCAGAACAGTCCCGTCACTTACACAGCACAAACGGAGCAGTGGTGACAACGGTCAGGTTTTATCAGCTGGCATCTATCACAGAATCGAATACCTGAAATTGAAGACACATTTAATATCAAATAACAGAAAAGTGCTCTTTTTTTCATGGTAGTTAATATTCCATCAATTTCCTAACTATTCATATTCTTTCCTCTATCATTTCAAGAGATGAGTGCATTTGCAGCTGATTTTTGCTGCCAAGTCGTAACCAGATAAGCAATGCTCATAATTCTCCTGGAGATTTGCAGATGCAGAGAACAATCCTCACTGCAAAGCATACAGCCAGCTTAAAAGTGATAGAACAAAACTGCACACTTCCCTCTGGCTTCCACCTTTACTCGGACTTTACATACACTCCATTTGGATAACTGACTATATAGCAGTTCTTTACTTCACAATTCTTTGGCTTGCCTGACAGAAAGGAACAGGTCAGGGCCTCCAATATGAACACAGATTTCTTTTAAGCTTTGAAAGGAGTGCAGTATGCATTTAGAAACAGAACAAGGTCCAGAAATCTATTCACAGAATTATGTCCTGCATGTCTAAGCCAGACTCCATTTTAAGTAAAAAAGATTACAGATTTTGTCATTCTATTCCTGTTCGCACACACAGACAACATAAGCAGGCTTTTGAACTGTAAATACAAAGGGTAACTTTTTACTTCTCAAAGGCAGCACCTGGCACTCCACTGAAGGTGAACGGAAGCGTTCAAAGCTTTTTTGTTTTCCCAAACATAAAACCTTAGAGAAAAGGCATTAAAATTATTTGCACAAGCGTTACTCAGTGCACGCAGCGGCATTAGGAACGCCCTGTTGGTCAGCAGTATCATCTGGATCACCAGCTTACGCTACTTTAGCGTGCTTGATTAGATTTAGAGAAACAAAGCTGCCTGCTTAGCTGACCTCCATTCCCCGTTCTTGTGTACACCGGCAACTTCCTTGCAATTTCGGCGAGAATTTGCCTCTGCACCTCCGGCCTTTCTTCATTTTCATAGCGCTCTTGGTCAGCGTAGGACATATGGTACTAGAAGCAAAAGTCATGAGGGGAGCAGTTACCCATGGGTAGCAGAGATAATATTTCAAATACAGGCAAAGTTTGGAAACACTTTTACCTCCCACACCTTCTAACAAGATTCACCTACTGTGAAAATGTGTTTGTTAAGAGGACGAAGAGAGACAGCAAGTGCTGGACAGTCAGAATACTCTGCGATACATCAATAAGAAACACAGAAGTGAAATTAAGGATGACAAAACAACATACTAGAATTGCTACTACTGCTGCCTTAAATTATTATTTTTCATGAATAACTTTACTAACCGTGATAAGGACACCTTAAACACTTCCCTTGTGACCAAGAACCTGTCCCCAGCCACAGTTTTGTACTTCTAAAACTGGGATTAGTTGTTATTTATAAATCTACATTCTTGGAATTAGGATCCGATTATGGTTGTGTATATTTGGAGTGCCTCACAAACACCATCCTCATTCTGTTGCTCCAAACACAGTGTTTCATAAAGAGATAAAACAAAACGCTGAAAAAATTCTAACAGCAAATTTACAGCCACGTGCTACGCAGCCACATAGCCACAGTCCTCACTGCCACAGACACGCGACATCAGAACTGCAGCACGTTGAAAAACAAAATTATTCTTCTATCCATCACTATCATGAAAAAGAGTCTGACAAATGAAGGAAACTTAACCACTACAAAGAGGCCTACTCCAGCGGCAAAGGGCTCCCAGCAGAGCAGGCAATGCTGGACTGTGGTGGGACACTGGATGTTCACATACACACCCCAACAATCTGGCTCAAGAGACCAAGAAACCCAACTACCATTACAAATGTGCCCCTTTCCACCTGGAACATCTTCCTCGCAGAGTGAAAACCAAAACCAAAGGTCCTTCCTCAGGAGAATCCAGTAAGAATAGGTTTAGGAAGGTGCTTGGGATTTGGCTTGCAACTTGTTAAATGCTTAGAGATCAAAGACACTATAAATATGGAAGTTAATAATCATAAATTCTATTCTTCTCACCACAAAAAATCCTACCTGTTCCTGTACCACTTGAAAAGGCAGCCTTAAAAGTTAACACCATCTCTGATTGAAATCATGCTCTCTGGGACTCCAAGGATTCTTGGAATGGTAAATTACTCAGTTTTTATGGACAACTCTAGGTTATTTTCCACCTCTTTAGGAAATCTGATCCGTTGTCCAGATCAACCAGTTTGAAGGATTTTTGAGTTCCCTTTAGCATCCCTGCTTTCATTCTGCAATGTACGGAAAGTACCTGGACTCTTACCTTTTTGCCTGGCTGCACCGGGAGAGTAAAAATAGACTTCCAGTATGTCCACACAAAGAGCACAAAGAGAATATGGAATATTATAAGATAGGCCACTAAAAAGAAAAGGAAACAAAAAAACAGAAGCAGAACAGTGAGTTCTTAAGCAGAAGTTCCATTCACGACAGGCATAATTCCAATCTTTCACAACAATTAAAAAAAAAAAAAAAGGAAAAAAGAAAGATTTACAGTACGAACCAGTCCTGCAATACAGCTAAACCTTATGGTCAGAGGGTCAGTAGAATGTCAGAGATCTGTGGCTGCAGTTAGGGGTTACCTGTCTCACAAGCCTCCCCTTCTCCACCTGATCCAATTCCGTGGGTGAGGAACAACACAGAAGAGACTTCACCCACAGGGCAGGTGATGACCCTGTATCACTGGGAACGACAGGATTCCTGTCTCACTCCCATATCCTACTCACAGGCAAAGCAGAACTGGCTGGTGCTGAGCAGCATAAAGGTTAACACAGTACTCCAGCATCTCCAGATTTTGGGTTCAGTTGCTACTAACTGCACTTCGAGTCACTGTACCATGTTATCAGCGTACTGTCCCCTCCTGCAACGCATTCTTCACCACTTGTGAGAGCTGAGAGAAGTAATGTGCTCTAGCAGAGCTCTACGTCACCAGAAAAAAGCCCAAATCTCTGACAAAACATCTTTTAGATTTGTTACAGTTGACACAATTAAAAAAGCCAGGAAAACACCCCTCAAACTGAGCAAAACAGGTCTTGTGATTACTGACAAAGAACTGTAATCCACTAGACACGACGTTATCACATGAAAACCAGCATACATCAGAGTAATCTTATTTCAATATGCAAACTTTATTTCAAAGCCTCTGGGCACACTGTGGTTCAGAAAGCCAAAGGAGAGCAATTCTTCAGCTACACAAACTAGTTGTTTGTTATTTCTTTGAGATTTAACTCACTAATACATTATCAAACAGCTACAAGACAGTTTTATTTAAACACACCATTTAATCATAACAACAGCCTCATTTTCTCCATTTAATTTAAGCTTCTAATTACAGAAACTACAATTAAAGTAACTACTAGTAGTGGAAAGAGAAGTTTAAAATCCAAACACTTCCTAACTTCTCAGGTAAGACTGACTGTGTGAAAATGTAATTGGTAAGAAGGGCAAACACAGCTTTGAGATGGCACACGATCTGATACGCCTCACAAGAACACAACGGATTGTGTGCACGACCTGTGAATCAGTGATAACTCGTTATTACGCTCTTAAGCTTGTTTGAGATGTTATCCTTATGCAACACGCAGGTGGAGGTCAGTCAGTTTTAAATTAATATGTAAGAAGATAAATCTTGCAACAGGTTTAATTTTGTTGATAAAGCAATATAGCAACATGTTAGAGGAAGCTGACCTGGAGATGCACTAATAGATTGGGCAACTAATAACTTTCTTCTGATGAATAATCATTAGTATCACCCTTTCTGTATTTCCTCTGTAACAGTTTCAAATATTAGGACAGCTCTATAGTGGAAAGAGAATTTATTTAACGCAGCAATCTGGAAGATCTTTAAACTACCAGCTGGCATTGTTCTTCATGGAACAATTCACCAGCTGAAAACCACTACACCCACTTCTATCCTTCATAACCCTGGAAGAAGAAATCAAGGTATGAGGCCACTGGTACAAGCCAAACTCCACCAAAGCACCTCCAGGAAAGAGGAGGAGGAGCACTGAAATGGCCACTAACCCTTTATTCTTAGAACATGACTGTGGCCTCCAACAACGCACCAGTGGGAAGTGTCTCTCCAATGGATCCTGCTGCTCTGCCCAACTCATTCAGTGACTTCACGATACTGCGTCTGGGAGCTCAGAGCAAAGTCTGTCAACCTGGACTACCAAACAGATCTGAAAAGTGTTCAAGCCAAATAAGAATGAGACAGAAGCCTTTGCCCTAACTCGTCAACATCAGTAAATGCAGGTTACTGTGTTATCTCTCAATATACAGTTGGTGGTCGACAGAACCAAGCAAAATAATCTTTTGCAAAAGCCTCTTTACAAAAAACATTAAAAATAGCTTTCACCAAAAGATCAAATTAAACAGTGAAAAAAAAATAGGCAGGCCACTGAACAGAACTGGTCTTTTCTGTTTAGCTTGTAAAATCAGCTCTGAAAACATAAAACAGAAAAGGAGAAAAGGTGCATGGGTGTATACAGAGAGACATACATCTTTTTTCTGAGAGAGTAAAAGGGATCAAAGCCTTTTCATGTTCTTCTGATTATACTATGACTAAACAGGGGCATTTCCCAATACATCAAAAAGTTATAGCATGTCTAACAATGCACGCTGCATACTTCACCAATGTGTAATTACAGGAAGGAAGCACTGAAAGGGTAGGTAAGTTCAAATAAATTGACAGAAAGTATTTTTGGTATTTTAACTAGAACATTTGTGCATCTTTTACACAAAGACTAAATGTCAAATAGTGAATTGAATGCACATACCTTTTTCCACAGGGTTGCTCAGAGTCACTGAAAAAGAAAAAAAAACCATATGTATACAGAGCAAATAGGATTCCCAGAAAAGTTTGTGACAAATAATTTGAAATACAGTTCAAATTCAACAGACAAAAAGAGAGCCCACAGTCCAGCATCAAATCAAAAGCATCCATAACAATTCCTTGTTTACTCACGCAAATGACACCCACGACAAGATGTTCAATAACTGTTACTTATGCTGTATTTTCCCTTGTTATAAAACATATTCTGTTTATTTGTACATTAGAAACATGACAAAAATAATCCAGTGGTGACAGTGATGTGACAAGATTGCCAGGGCTCCTCTAGCAACTGTCCAAGCAGCATCTCTACACACGTACTCAGATATGTGTGTACTCGTAGCCTGCTTTGTCCTAGTCCCTAGGTGATCCTGATCCTCCACTGTAAGCCTTGCCCCAGTGCACTTCTGCATCAGCAGCAAAGTACATACTGTAATGACTCAATTATTTTTATACTTCCTACTAGCAGAGTTTTTACCACCCCTCCTTCCTTCACCATCACCACAGGAACAGTCTCTGCTAACAGAACCACTCAGAGCAATAGCAAAGCGTACATTGCTCAATGCCTACTTCTACTGATTATTTTAAAATCCATCCATTATTTTTAAAAAAAGCAGCCAAGTTTAACAGAAAAGATACAGACATCTTTATTTAACTGAAAAAGGAGAGATTCTGTGATATCTTGAAATAATACTGCTTGGAAGACAAAGATTATCCATGGGATGGGAACCCCTTGTATCAAGTCCATAGCCTCGAATCTAGTGGTTGCAACTGAAATGTGTTGCTCTTTGGAGGAACAGAGGAATGAAAGGAAACTAGTTGCCACAGATCATCCCCCAGAGGCACAGTAATCCCACAAAAATAAAATCATATTGACTCAAAGATTTGAGAGATGGCACATACTAGTGATGACCCCTTCAGTAACTCTGTTAGACTGTACAGAAAAATAAGTGATTGAGGGACAGGAACCTTTTACTTCTGGCCCACAGCCAGCGCCTGGAAAGACACTCTGCTCTTCAAGACTCACTCTATTTTCTTACTTGAATAACCAACTTGGAAAATGTAGATCAGAGCAGGAGCCAAGAGGTCGTGCTTTTACTAATGAAAACAGTTTTTCTTAAAACCATGCTAACAAACAATTTTGATCACATAATCACAGAATGGTGGGGTTGGAAGGGACCTCAGGAGATCAGCCAGTCCAACCCCCCTGCCAAAGCAGGTTCCCTACAGCAGGTTGCACAGCAAGTGGGTTTTGAACATCTCCAAAGATGGAGACTCCACACCCTCTCTGGGCAGCCTGTCCCAGGGCTCCATCACCCTCACAGTGAAGAAGATTTTCCTTAAGTTTGTCTGGAACTTCCACTGTCCCAGTTTGTGCCCATTGCCCCTTGTCCTGTCACTGGGCACCACCAACAAGAGCCCGGCCCCATCCATTTGGCCCCCACATTTCAGATATTTACAGACACTGATCAGATCCACAAGCCCTACAACACACAATAATGTAGATGAAAAAAGAGAACAAATATTTGCTGTGTCACTGCATGCTCAATTTCAGATGGACAAGACTGTTGGTAAACTTTTAGCTCTTCCTTTGGTTTGCTGCAAATCAACCTATGAAGAGTACATTCAGCTGTTCACAAATATTGCTCGGTTCCCTCCTGAAGGATGTGTTGCAGTAACAGCACGGCCTTTCTATGGATTTTACTTGAGAAACGCACAGACCCCTAAATAAAGATTATATAAAAGGTTTTATCACAGGATACCAGGTCATTGTTCTTACTGTGGCAGCAACTGCCAACCAGACATGAAATCAAGGCCTCCTCTGGAGTATGACTTGTTGACCATACCAGTCACTGACAGTTTAAAAGCCAGTCTCACCAGATACCTCTGGGACATCACCCCCACACTACTTTCAGTCCTCAGCAGTCCACACAACTGAAGATGAAAATCAAGAATCCAGGCAGAGCATCTGGCTTTCAAGTAACTGCGTGTGCCAAAAGTTAACGTTCAAATCCTAAAATAATTAATATAGTCATTTCAACTTCTGTATAGATAACCTCCTCCACACACAAATAAAATGCATGAGAGAGAAAGATGGGGCAAAAAAATAGATGAGTGTGGGAAAAGGAGTGATTTGAAGCTGTGATTCTAGGCAGTGAGATGAGTTCCTGCCAGTTTAACCAGCACTTGCAGAACCACACAGGCCCAATCCAAATCCCACTCAAATCAGCAGAGTCTTTTCTAATAGCTGCACCAAGACTTGAAATTAACCAATGTTAATTATTACTGAATTTACACAGCACTGCAAACAAAGCATATTACAGAAGACTGACAGCATTTCAGGAAAATACTGTAAATTTTTTGTCATGTGGTCTAATTGACAGTTGCACACACCTTGGAGATATCCTTTCATGTGAATTCGTGAAAGCAGCAGCCCACCATCTCAGAAATGGAATAAAATGTCATGAAGTATTTGGGGGTTTTGCCTAGCTGCCAATTAAAAGAGATGAAAGAAGCTGCATTGCATTTTAGTCACCATCGAGAAAAACCAACAGGTCTTATTGCACTGGCAACCCTAACGAAAATCTGATTTAAATTTGCTGTGCAGTACCAGAAGGCAGCTCTTTTCACAGAAACGTCTCAAACTACCGTTCTGAGAACTCTGG